GATTGGATCTGGAGAAGAAAAAGGTGGTGTGGTCTTCGTACATAAACTACTGTGATTGACGCCAGCGCTCAGAATCTCCGACTAGTAGCATATGACATTGACAAGGCCCGATATATGGGATGAGAGAGAGGCGGAGACTCGGGCAAATCCACGATAAATAGAGACTCAAAAGACAAAAGAGTTCACCCCCCCGGTGGCGAACGGGGGCTACATCTCTGGCGCACATGCTGGGAATTTTTCGTCGACTCGAACACGGGACCTCTAAGCCTTCACCGATTACCTAGGCTGTTCGTGGACTTCAACCACTCCACCACTCAGCCAGTTTTGACCTGACCCCCGAGGGGGCGCCCGCTGGCTGGTGACGGGATTGGACTTGAGGGGGGGTATAAAGGGTTTTCGCGGAAGGTATGGGAAGGTATGGGAAGGTATGGGAAGGTATGGGAAGGTATGGGAAGGTATGTGAAGGTATGTGAAGGAACGGCCTAGCCAGCACCTGCCTTACAGTCGCATGGATGTCATTGGGGCACTTCATGACATTCACGACAGATCCTGTGGAAGGAGGCAGACATGTTTCATTGTGGATATTCCGTGGGAGACATACATTCCATTTTGCTCAGGCAGTGTTGATGTATTAAGCTATCACTGTCCGCTATCGGGATGGTGATGATGGAATCTATACCTCAACGCCGCCTAATGCACAATCTAGATGCACCCATCTTTCCTTCCCTTCGTCAAGCGCCGTATCCTGCCACCCCCGTCTCAGATCACTGCGTCTTCGGCTTTCTAAGCGGAGCAGTGACGGAGAAGGAGACTATGCTATACTCAGTCTTCTCGGCATCCCGCTTCTCAGTGGCCTTCTTCTCCTCCGCAGTCTTCTCTTCCTCGTCCTTCTTCTTCTTCTTCTCGTCCTCGTCGTTCTTAAGCTCCTTCACGACATTGCCGTCACCATCAAGCTCGACGACAACGTCGCGGGTGTCAAGGCTCCCGTCCTCGGTGTACATCCACATCTCCTTGAGCTCGCCACGGACGAGACCAGTCAACCAGAGGGAGCTGAGAACGCCAGGGACGAGGTACAGCAGCGCAGGTTGGCCGTGCTTGAAGACGACCAACATGACTAGTGTAGTCACCATGCCGATAGCGTAGCCGACCAGGGAGGCGTAAAAGTAAGTCTTGCTGAAAGTCGATCCGCGCACGGTCGGCGGCGCTGTCTGCGTTGCAGCCTTGAAGAGACCCAGCCACGAAGGGGCGGACCAGAACCAGTCTCCCCAACAGTTGGTGATGTCGAGGTACGGGGCCTTTTGCGCAACGTGCTGGGTTTGGCTCACGGTGACCACGTCGCCGGAGGTCGCGTCGTGCTGGTCGGACTTGAGATCGGTCGGGATATACTTGATCTGGCGCTGGTAGTGAAGCCACATGTCGAAGCGGAGGGCGAGACACATGACAATGCCCGGGACGACAATGTCTCCGAGTCCGAGAATGCTGGACCTAGCGGCGGACTGAAACTGGAGCTTGATGGGCACATCGAGCTTGGTGGCGACGGTGATCATGTAGGGGCTGGTGGATTGTTAGATGATGTGGGCTCAAATATCACTGGCAACTGTGACTGAGATGCAACTTACGTGTAGAAGACCATGATTATGTCGTAGAAGAAGAGTCCGATCAGCACCAAACTTCCCGTTGCAAACGTCGTCGGGGACATCATGAGGAATGAGCCGTAGCAGAATCCGTAGCCCATGAAGTTGGACAGGAATGGCGAGCCAGACATGAAGTAGGCCACGACGGTGGCGATAGCCAAGTTAAGACCAACGACGTGGAGGATAGTCATATGGAACTTCTCGCGAAGGAGGCCGTGCAACTTCGCCTTCACCGTCCACTCATCCGTCAAGACGTGGCGCAAGTCCCATAGAACCCTGTTGGTCTTGATGCTGTTGAGGTGCACAATGCTGCGCAAACCAAAAGGCAGCGGGTTGCTCTTCTGGAGAACCTGTGCGTTGTATTGGTCAACCCCGTCGCCTGTGACCTTGATGAAAGCCTCATCGTCGTCGTTGACGTTGTAGAGTGAGCCATCATGGCGGAAGTAGTTGGGGAAGACGAATCCGGTGGTAACCCGCAGTGAGTGTGCGATCAGAGTCGTCAAACTGGCGACACCCATGACGGACATGTAAACTCGGAGAATCTTGTTGAGGATGGCGGGGTCCTGGAGCCATTGGATGAGGTAGTAGAGGCCGATGAGCATGGTGCCGGCCAGGATCGGGAAGAGAATGGCGTCGGTAGGCATGAGACCCTCCGTTATAGGCTCGTCCTCCTTGCGTTCTTTTCCATCATTGCGCTTCTGAGGAGCGGCAGAAGGTGGGCGGCGGAGTGAGCCGTGGGCGCCAATGTAAATGATGGCTAGGGCGCTGAAGATGAGCTTGGCCTCCATCGTCAAGAAGCTAGCATACTGGGTGAAACCCCATTCCACAGCGGCAGCGGTGGCGTTTCCAGCTGTCGAGTTGCCAGTGAGGTTGCCGGTGAGGTTCTGGGCAAGCTCATCAAACGGCGGGTTGATGGGGCTGGGGACCGGTGAAGCCATGTCGTCGCTGTCGCTGTTGGTGTCAGGCTCGCTGTCGTTCCCGGGTGCTAGGATGAAACAATCGTCCAATGCAAGTGAAGCTCGTGATAGTTGTCAGGATGGAAGAGACGGAAGCAGAATGTCAATGAATGAGACGATGGTCGTTGAGAGTGGCAAACGGAGAAGCCAGATGCCCGTAATCGATTTATGCCCTCGGAAAGGACCACTGGCGTTTAAATGCTGGATACACGTTAGAAGGAATACTAACCTCGCCAAGAGTATTCTGATCCTTACCAATTAGTGAATGCAGAAGTTGAAGCCACCTGTTTTTGGAGATGGGTCGGATGAAAGACGACACGGTGTTTCCTGCCCTGCCTAATAAGAAAAAAGTAAGAAGTCAATTCTGTAAATCGGTCTCCGCCCTGGCCAGATTTTGCTTCGAGTGACGGGATAGGCAGGCAAGTGGGAAGTGTCTTTGGTTGAGACGGAAAGGGACTCTGGACGTCCTAAGAAAAAATAGATTCGCCGTTTGGTTTATCTTCTTCAAGAGACAAGTCGCACCTTGCCCGTGTCCAAACTCTTGAAAGGCGGTATCGATATCCGTGCGGCGCGAGCGTTGCTGCAGGAGGTTCGCCCTGCGCTGGTCCAGATTGGTACGGTAGGTGGTTTGACAAGTGAGAAGTGAGGTAGGTACCTAAGCTATGCTCAGCTCCAGGCAAGGCATGCGGGGAAGAGAGGCTTCAGCTGCCATGACCCCCACCTCAGCGCTGTAAACCATTGACACCTTAAAGTACCTGCACGAATGTGCAACATTGAATAAACATCTACGAATACACCACAAACACTCAACCCCTTAGATCTATAAGGCAAATATCATTGAATTACAGACATCAGCAGCGTCTGAAGTGTACATGACCTAGTGGAGAAAGTAATAACGCGTAATTGGGGCCTGCAAAGGTTGCGAGTTCGGATTTGGTGGTCCTACATAATGCCACAGACTGCTCATTTTTTTTCGGCTTGAGTACCACCTCCAGCTTCCAGTGGCGCACCTTCACCCCAGAAGTGGCTGAAGCTCCCCCCTGGCCAGCCGCCATGGAAAAGCGCAGTCCGCAATCGGGCGCGATCCGCGACTGGACCTGACTGACGTGCGACCGCAAAACCTCAATCGCATCGCATCGCCAGCCTTGCCCAAACTAATTATCCGTGAACCCCTCCACCACCGCCAGCAGCACCACAGTCCACGACAATTCGCGCAGCAAGCACAGCTGTCAATCCCTCAAAATGACTACCAACGTCTCCCTCGAGACCTCAATGGTACGTCCAAACATCCTCTACACCCCATGATGTAGACATCAATCCAATGCGACAACCTCCCAAACCCCCAAGCTAACCACTTCTCCTCCAACAGGGCACAATAATCCTAGAACTCTACACCGGCCACGCCCCCAAAACCTGCACAAACTTCGCAACCCTCGCAAAGAGAGGCTACTACAACAGCACCGTAATCCATCGCATCATCCCAAACTTCATGATCCAAGCCGGCGACCCGACGGGCACAGGCCGCGGCGGCACCTCAATCTACGGCGAAAAGTTCGCAGACGAGATCCACGCAGGCTTAAAACACACCGGCGCGGGGGTTCTCTCCATGGCAAACGCGGGGCCCGACACGAACGGCTCCCAGTTCTTCATCACCCTTGCACCGACCCCTTGGCTCGATGGGAAACATACGATCTTTGGACGGGTCAAGAGCGGATTGAGCGTCGTCAAGAGGATGGGGCTCGTCAAGACGGGGCCCGAGGACCGGCCGCTTGAGGAGGTCAAGATTATCAAGGCTTCTGTCGTTGAAGAGGGCGGCGACGAATAGTCAACGAGGTGGTGGTAAAGGTCTGCCTGCCTAGAGGGGCCGTATTGTCAGCATCTACACGGAGTTTGGCGTTTGGTCGAGCAGACCGTACCTTGGGAAAAAGTTATATCCAATCCATGTCGTCTACATCTTTCACGTGGTCATAAATCAAACGGAGTATGATAAATCACAAACTTCACACTCAATGGGGGGAATCAATATCATTTGTCACAATGCCTATAAAATGTAGCCGCAATATCTAAACGCCGCCATCCGCCTCGCCAGGCGATGCACACGAGTATGGAGGGAGGAAACCCCCTCATCCCTAGAAGACCTTCCCCGACTGACTCCCTGACCATGCATTGTTGAGTATCGTGTATCGAATGTCGATCTTCTCGTCGACCAGGGCTTCAGATTTTTTGATGAGTACAGAAAGAAAACAAGAAAACGGCCAGGAACCTGGCTCTGCGGCCAGTCCCACGACCCTATTCTTTGGTTGTAGAATGCGGGCCAAAGAACTAACGTATGCCCCATCCCGGCTGATATTTGACGCCGGCCGGGACACTGAAGGAGAAAAAATGTGGTAATGGATACAAAGGAGCGATATTAAGAGCGACGCCGTTTGGTGGCCTGTTTCTCATGCTCATCCGAGGCTCTCTTTTTACCTCGGGCTGGCGGCTGGGCCTGAACGGTAGAATGACTTTTGGCGGGCTTTTTGCCTTCAGTTGGAGGCGTTCGACTTCCAGTGGTCTTGGACTGCGAAAGCCGTCCCGTGGATCGAACCGTGTCTTGAGAAGATCCTGGCGAGTTCGGTTTTGCGGCAGAACGACCAGAAGAGTTGCTTTGAGCGGAAGGTGTGCTAGAGACAGACGCCAGTCGCTGTCGAGTTGGCTGCGGCTGCGGCTTCGACTGTGGAGGTGAGCGTTTGACTGACGAAGGCGCCGATGTGCGCTTCATAGCCAACAACTCGCTTGGTCTCCTAAGACCACAGCCGGCCATCCTTTTGACGCTGGTTTTTGAGCTGGTCTTTGTGCTGCTCGTTGCGCTGGTCGTTTTGCCGCCCGTTGTGCCGCTCGTCGTGCTGCCAGGCTTCTAGTGTGGCGGCGACGACAATGTGCCAGACGATTCTGATTCTGCGTCTTCGTCCTTCTCTTTTCCGTTCCGGCCATTCTTGGATAACGGCGAGGACAAGGGCGGCTTGGCGGCACCGAGCTTCAGTTTCTTGGCCGGACTAATGCCCTTGGCCTCCTTCTTTTCCTTCTTTGGCGCAACTTCAACGGTAGAGTTGTCGCCGTCGTCTGCCTTTGCCTCACGACTCAAAAGTGAGTTCGTCTTCACCTTTTCCTTCTTGGGACCTTTTGTTTTGAGTATGACCTTTTTTGTCATCAAGGGTGTTGACTTCAACTTCTTCTTCTTATGGCTGTCTCCCGATTCGTCCTCGTCTTCAGGTGCCGCCACCTCCTCGCTGTCGCGCTTCTTAGGGCTCGAGGCCCGCGATGCAGGCGCCGGTGTTGCCTTTTGGCTTGATGGGGGTGTTCCGTCGTGCTGGCTAGCGCCATTGCTACCATTTGAGATCTTTGCCGCCGCAGCGCGACTGGCATTGCGTCCGCTATTTCCAATGCAAGAGCCCATGTGGTTGTTGAGACGGGTGACAAGAATGCATCGTTTGCACTTGCTGCAGGTGGCGGAGGGAAATGAAAGCACGTTGGCTGGTCGCGCTTCTCCGGGACCGGCTGACTCGATATTCGGATCGGGCTTCATATCCTTCTTCTTCTTACCACGGCCGGGACCAGGCTGAACCCAGGTCTGCCCGTAAATGTCGTAGCCGGGCTTGTCAATGTAGGGGTGCTTCTTGCAGTAGATGACGCTTGGATCGGGCTTTCGCGCGCCTTTGCCATCGGTCGGATAGAGCAGGCGAGGCAGGTGGCATCTGGGGCACAGGATCTCGGATGTGGTCTTGAGGGGGTTGCCCTTGAGCAGAACCTTGCCGTCTTCGTATATCGCAGCGTCGGTCTCTATTCGCACGTCTGGCTTCGAGTCGGGGGTAGAGCTCTCTGATGCATCGGAAGCCAGCTTCTCGACACGAATGGCAGCGGTAGACGCTCTCGCCATTTTCTCGTCGCGGTGGACTTTGAGTAGCAGGTCATGTACAATGTTGTACATGAGATCGTCGAGGACAGCGTGTGCCTGTTGCCCAATAACAGACCATGGTCAGCATCATTTCAAGTCATCAGCCATGGCGAACAGTCGCCCAGCCCAGCCGCAGCGATTCGTAGAATCAAATGGCCGCGATGATTTGAGTGAGACCGGGGAAGGAAGGGGAGGGCAGGGGATGGAAGAAGACTTACAAGCTTGTCCATATTGCCAGCGTCGTCGGGAGCGACAATCACTCCAGCCTTTCCTGTATTAGAAGCCATCTCGGCGAGGCCGACGGAACGGCGCACAGAGGCTGAAGGGAGTAAGATGCCGTCGTGATCGCAGCCTCGGAGGGCGGATAGCTTTGTGGTCGTGTGCAGGAAGAAATGTGGTTTGTGGAATCTGAATCGGGTTGACGGGTAACTAAAATAAGGTGCCACACGGCCGGTCGAGGAGCGGGTGGTTCAGCAGCCGCAGCAGTGAGCACTGAGCAAGTCGTAGTAGCAGCAGGTGCAGTGCAGGGGGGGATGAGGTCAAGCTGAGCAAATGCAAAGGGACGACCGACCGACGCCGCCACCAGGGAAGGGTTAGAGGAAAAAAAGTTTCGGAACCTTGCTTTGCTGAAGTAATAGGTAAGGGTGCAACAGCGATGGCGAACAAGCAACGGACACAAGGATTTGCGGTTAAAGTGTAGGTAGGTTGTCTCCGATGAGCTAGGGGGTCGACTTTCCCTTTGTCGTACCACGCGAGAGGCCCTATGCCGAATCTGGATAGGACGGGGGGGGGGTTTGAAGGTGCGAGGCGAGAGAATCCGATGGTCGCGGCCAACGTCGGTGTTGGTTGACTGGCGGAGCAAGTAAGGTAATTGGTTTACCGGGTGAGATGATAGGTAGGGACAAAATTGCTCGGGGTTAGGTGAGCAAGGTAAGATCCTCTCGAAGCCCGGTGTAAGATGAGGTAAGGTGGTTGATGGGGGATTGGAGAAGGAGAGAATGCGAATTGGGTGGTTTTTCCGGATTACCTTAGCAGATTGCTCAGGCATCTTTGTCAAGGGAATTGCGGGAAAGAGCGACTTTGGTAGGAAGCCCGGAAGCAACTTCCCAAAAGTGTCAACGTCGATCTGCGGGCCGCCTCACCCACAAGTTCACAACCACTTGCAAATGAAGCAGGAACCCATCGGGCAACCTACAACCCAGTAGCTTCCTCACAATAATTACCTTACATAAGGTATAGTAAATGCAACAGATAATAAAGTCCAAGGTGTCATATCTTCAATTGGATGGCTTCCGTTGTAGCATGATGTAAGCATCCTTCTTGAATCAAGACAAAAATCCAAAGAGAAATCATCGAGCGGTGACAACTTTCCCCAGACTCTTCCACCCCCCGATCCAACACGGCACCCGGATTCTTTGCAGATAGCAACGAAATGATAACCCTATGCACCAATGCACTTTCAGTTACATCCACGCTGCCAAACACACTCGCAGAACAGGGAGACTGGCTTTGTTGTCATCCCATCCCATCCAAGGATCCCGTCATGGAAACTACGGAGCGGATACAGTGTCCCCATCGGCGCATGCATGTGCCTGACTTTAGTCCCCTTTTCGCCTAGGTACCATAGCCAAGGTGCACAGGGGTCCAAAGGGCTAAATACCGGTCAACAACTACCATCAACATGAACTTCGTTCCGGGATACGGAGTACTTTGATTGGAATACCTACTCCGAGGACATCCTCAGACGACTTGCAAAAAAGCCGTAAGGGAGGGGACGACAGAGTCATTGATAGCGGTAACAAGACAAGCTCCGCATATAGTGAGCGGCTATGGTTCTGCCCTCCACCTCGCGCTCTCAACCTAGGTAATCTCGAGAGCAGCAACTACCTACCTTAGTTCCTGTGGAAGAGATCGATTCACCTACTAGGTGTTGTGTTGATAGTTGATCGGATCTTTTTTTTTTACCCTCGCCGATGCACTCCCTCCTTCCAAGAGAACACGCTGGTGAGTATGCAGCAGACATCGTCACTGTCGAGTCAAGACGGCGATTTGCCAGGGGTTCGCTATTGTTCCATGATTCGTTCAGAGAGTCTAACCATCCATCAGTCTCTGACGTTCATGCAGTAGTTTTTGGCACTACCAATCCCCGGTGCTCCTTTAATTGGTCTCGTAGTCTCTTTATACAAGTACGGAATACGGGGTGCATGTAATACAGGATATCTTTAGCACAACACCATCTCTGATATTCGTCTCCCTGCAATTACTCAAGGGACGAGCCGGTGGAGCCGTCGCTCTCCCGCCGGAGCCTCCAGAGCCGCGTCTGACCGCATCTCTTAGACTCTTACACAGTAGTTGACATCGGGGCTGACCGAACGCATCTGTCCGTTTGAGCCTCTGAGGGTGTACGAAGTACGGAGTACCTGTCTCCTTCCAGAGACAGCCCAGGGAGAAGGAGCCACCAAACCTAAACCGAGTCACGACTTGCACCACCTTCCGTCTCGCTGCAAGGAACCGTCTACCTGCCCTGCAAGCCGAAAAAAAAAGTCGCAACCATTCAGAGACAGTGACTTCCTAAACCTCTCGCCTAACTCCCCTTTCCCCCTTTCCCTGCATTCATCGTCACCGGATTATTGGAAACGAGACATCACCAGATCCCAAACCAGACTCTTCAAGTACCGCACGCGTGTAAATGCTCACGCCTAAGCGCACGCGCAACTGGAGTTCTGTCTACTCGGGAATTTTTTGACAGAGTATCATCCCTCCAGCTCGAGTGCTCAATCTACCTTGCTACCCTGCTGCTCCACATTTTCTTTCGCGCAATCCTCCCTCCAGTCTCGACAACTCACCTATGAATACATTTCCCTCCTTCACAAGTCAAGCAAACGAACGATCTTCCGCCCAACACACAGCATGTCTCTCCCCCAGACCACGACAATGAAGCAACCACCGACCCAGTCCTCCATCAAATCCTTCTTCCAACCCCGCCAGCAACCCACCTACGCTCCGCCTCCCCCAGCGTCAAAGTACGCCCCCGCGCCGTCATCGAATGGAACAGCAGCTGCCCCTCCTCCCACGACCAAACCCCCACCATCGTCAACAACAACAGCACCACCACCACCTCCTCCTCCCAAATCCTCAGTGACGACGGCGACAACAACGACAACACCATCGAGAACCTCACCTCCAGCAACGACACCGCAAACATCACAACCGCCAGCCTCGGCGCCCCTCCACCCAAGCGCCTCGATCCGCCCCGTCTCAGACCAAGACCTCCAACCCCTCCGCCGCATAAACTCCCTCCTCCTCCCAGTAGCCTACCCAGAAACCTTTTACGCCGCGGCCTTGACGGGCCCCTTCTCCCGCGTCGTCACCTGGCGCGACCAACCCACCACAAACTTCTCTCAGGAAATCGTCGTCGGCGGCGTCGTAGCCCGCATCGAGCCCTCCCCCTTTCCGTCCGCGACCCCGACCCCGACCCGCCTCGAACACGCCCTCTATATCCAGTCTCTCGCCCTCCTCTCCCCATACCGCTCCCATGGCCTGGCCACCGCCGTAGTAGACCATCTCGTCGCCGCGGCCGCAAACTCTTCCCCCGACGTCAACCTCCGCCACATCTACGCCCACGTCTGGACCGACAACGAGGAGGGCATGCGCTGGTACGCCGCCCGCGGCTTCGAGCGATACGGTGAGCCGCTGCAGGGGTACTATATCAAGCTCCGACCGGACTCAGCCTGGATCGTCCGCCGCGCCGTCGGTCCTCTTTCCATCGGCGGGCAGCAACAGTCCTTATCCTCTGACAGAGCCACGGCACCACCGCCGATCCCAGGTCCCACCGCCGTCGTCGCGAACCTGCCACCCATGAATGGAAGCAATGGTGCCGGCGGGCCCCCTCCTCCACCGTTGTCGAGGACAATCTCGGGCACATCCTTCCAGAACCGTCGCGCGGCGACAGAGTGGAACGATCTTCCCGACGAAATGGCATCGGCCAAGCTCGCGCCTCCCAAGAGCAGCGGCGGCTCGGGCGCGAGTTCCCGCAGCAGCTCGACAGTGAGGAAGAAGAAGGATAGATCCTACCCGGCTGCCGCTTTCCAGGGCTAGGCGCAAGAGGGGCGTGTGGAGTTGAATCTTGCCAAGACAATCAGATGGTGGCAGGATGAAGAATGACAGTCACGTACAAATGGGAGTACTCAGGACAGGCAGGATCGGCTTCATCCCAAACCCCGAACTATCCCGAGCACTGGTCGACTCCATGGCATTCACCATCTAAATCACAAGATGCGAAAGGGGAAAGACACAAAATACTAGAAAAGATTCGCCCCCAAAATTTAGAGGCTAGCCTGCTATAGACGTTTTGAACTTTCGTTTTTAGAGAAAAATTAAAAACAAGACAAATATTTAAACAGGTAATGCGTTTTGAACAAAAACCTTTCCCAAAGCAAGCAAGGTTATTCTGTTTTGCTCAGGCCCAACTCCGGTATTTTCCCCCTTTGTGTGTGTGGAATCATGAAGAAAATGATCAAATCCCCAATGCTGAAAAGAAAAGATGCTCACACGGATGGGGACGCAGACAAGGAGGAGTGAGAAAAACATCTCCTTCTCTTCTTGTCGGTTGTCCCAAATGACTGGTGGGTTTTGGTTTTCCCACACTTCCTTCCACCCTTTCCCATTCCTCAATGCCCCCCATTCATTCATCTCTCTTATACTTCGTTCATCATTGACGGTTATACCGGGACCACCAGACGGCCGCAATGGCTGCAACACCAACGATGCCTCCGATGATCAATGCCGTGTTGGTTGTTGACACCTCTTCGCCTGTAACGCACGCACAAAATGTGATTAGCCGACAGTCTCGCAATGCATCGCAGCGGGAAGTTCATCACGGTCGAGATCGCCCTTTATCTCGGCGACTCCAGTGACTAGCAACTTACGTTGTTCAGGGATAGAGTCAAGTTCCCTCTTGACATTCTGTCTGAACTCGGTCAAGACGTCGCCCTCCTTCTCCATGCCAGCTGCCACAAGGGCAATGAGGGCGGCGCCAACTCCACTTCCGTCCTTAGCGATGCCAATGCGGATCTTGTCAGCACCCTTGGGGCCGATGCTCTCAATGGAGCGCAGTGCCTCGTAGATCATGTCCCTGAAGAAGGGGTAGTGCTCAACCAAGCTGCCGTCGACACCAACATCAATGACCTCCTCCGTCTCGTCGTCAAGCTTGCCGGACTGGAGAACAATGGCGCCAATGGCGACAGCTGACAGGCGAGCTGCGCGACGGCCGACGGAGCCGGCGACGGCCTTGAAGGCCTGGGCGTCCTCGAGCGAAGGGCTGTACACCAGCATCTCGGACTCCAGCTGCTGTCTCAGGGTTGACAGCTCGGGGGTGTTGTCGGCAGCGGCAACGGACATGATGGAACTGTCCAGGCCCCACTGCTTGAACATGCCGGACTGCGCACCGATGCTTGTTGTTGACTTCCAGTCGTTGAAGCTAGAGTTCTGGTCCTTAAACAGGGAAAGCTTCTCGTCCTTGAGCATGTCAAGGATGGTCAGACGGACAATCTCGCCCAAGAACATGCCAGAGACACGCTTCTCAAACATCTGGATGCCGGGGTTCACACTAGCCTTGTCCAGAGCATCATCCCAAGGGGTGTTGGGCAATACGTTGAGCTGGTTGTCGAAGGAACCCCACTCAGTGTTCACAACCATCTCGCCGGTAGCAGCCTCGAACTCGCCGACAATGGGCTTTTTGATGTTGGACAGCTTCTCGAGGTAGGCGCCGTTGGTGCCAGTGCCGAAAATGGCACCCAAGATGGAGCCGGACTTGCCAGTAGAGGTGTAGGATCTCGCCATCAGGGTTCCGACGGTGTCGTTGACGAGAGCAGCAACGCGGACGGGGAGGTGCAGCTTGTCGATCTCGACCTGCAGCAGAGCACAGACATCCTTGCCGACGGCATCGGGAATATCGAAGCCCTTGGTCCACCGGATCAGGTTGCCCTTGTTAATGCCAAGCTGCTGAACGGGGAAGCTGAAGGTGAAGCCCAGGCGGAAGACGTGCTCGTCGCGGTAGCCCTCGGGGGCGCTGTAGGTTTGACGGCGGCGAATGTGCTGCTCAAAGTGCTCGGCGTGGTGTTCGCGAAGGAAGAGCTCAATCTGCTTGGCGAGGAAGGAGAAGAGTTCCTCGGCGGTCTTGGCGACCATGAGCTCCTTGGGGATCGCGACCTTGCTGTATGTGAGATTGAAGGTAGTGTCACCGTTGAGCTGGACGGAGCACACGCGGAAGTTGGTGCCGCCGAGGTCGACAGCGAGGTACAGGCCCTGTAACAAGTGTCAGTGAGTGCACTCCCGCAAAGTGGGTTTGCGAATGCAAAGCTTCGTTGCTGCACAATTTACCTTTTCAGTACCATTGGGCACGCCAGTGACGTAGGTCGGGATCTGGCTCATGCTAGATCCATCCTTTTCCAGGCCAGTTTCTGTGAATTGCCAAAAATCAGCCCACTTTTCTCGACTGTTGAGTATTTCCATGCAAGACTGTTCTTTTTTTCCCGGCGCAAATATGTGGCCGTGACAACGACAGTTCCCGCAGGTGAATACCTGCAGAGAGCGGGAGCGCGAAGGGAGAATGGGCAAACTTACGCATTTGGCCAAGGAATTCGCTGACGGCACGGTTGAGGTATGCATCGGACAGCTCGAACTGGTCGACGACGCGTTTTGTCTCTGCTTCGAGCGCCATTGTGAGAGGTATGGAGATTGGCGGCGTGGTTGGAAAAGGCGCTGGATTTTCGCAGACGGGCTCCTGGAAGATTTGTGCCGAAGGAGAATAGAAGGGAGGAGGCGGGTAGAAGAAGTTGTGAGAGGGGAATGAGTAGGAGCGAAGCTGCAGTTGGAGGTGCGGCGGAAGGAGCTTGGTGTCTCGGAGGAAGAGCTGCGTGAGCTGTTTTGGTACAAATTAGTCCAAGGCAATCTTCGTTGTAAGAGGAAGATGAAGTGATTCTCCAGTTAAGAGAGGGAAAAGATATGAGGAGAAAGAGTTTGAACTTGAGAATTCGAACAAGGCAAAGCCAGGTAAGGTAGGAGGGTGAGGAAGGTGTGTGACAATGGGAGAAGAAGGTCAGACAGAGCGAAGGTGAGGAAGTTTTTGGGGGAGCTCTGAGGATGATGTATGTGACGAAATCGCAGTGGAATGGACGGGGGATGGGGTTCAATTGGCATGGGAGCAAACATGGAGCATGGGGAGCAGGTGTGGAGCTGATGGTTGTTGGTCCCATGGAGCAGGGCGACAGGCATGCAAAGTAAGGACCGTAAGGTAGGTACTCGCCAAGGTACCTTGCCAGCACTCAACACCACCAGAAAGCAGTGAGGTAATGTCGTGGTGGGGTGACCGAGGTGGTCCGTCTCGTGCTACAATCCGTAGACACGATTTTCCTCCAGCTCCAAGCCTCCAAGACTCTTGTCTTCCACCTTGGGTAACACAAGTCCACGACATTTTGGCAATTGGCCATCATGACAGAGGTCGCCCAGAATAGCGAAGCCGAGGCCAAGGATACGGAACAGGGACGATGACCAAGACCCTGCCACTGGAGTCGTCGTTGACTAACTCTCAGTTGATGATGCCCCAGGTCTGCATGTGGGATGCAAATGCCATTGGGTCACATCCAGGCCTTCAAGTTCTGCAAGTCTCGAGACCTTTTTTGTGCTCCCTTTCCAGATGTTGGGCCGGACGGAGGACCAAGCTGCGCGACGAGAATAGGGTCTTCTGCAGCACGACCCAGCATGGTGAATGGACGGCTACAGCTGCGTGATGTGAGGCGAGATGCGTCGCCGCGGAAAGCTGGAACTGGAACTGGAACTGGAACCTGATCCTTGGAACCAGCTCTGCCCTTGGGGGGCGTCGACTAGGTACTGCGGGGAATCGTGCGCCCGTGTGTATCCGTACAAAGTAGGTCCAGTAGCGTAATTCAGCGAGAGAGACCACCCAGACTGCCCATAGTTTGGCATGACGACGAGGTACGAAGGCGGCGGCAGAGTCCGGTCAAGTGTTCCGTTCCTTGGCCTTGGCCCATGGCCCTGCTGGCAAAAGCTCGGGAGCCGAAAGCAGCTCTAGCCGCTTGCCATTGGATCGTGGCTTCAACTTCGGCCCCGCCGTTGGCCCCAATTGGGTTCCGGCGAGGTCCCGATCATCGATTGCCTCTCATCTCTCGTGTCGCTCGCTCGATTTCCTCGCCCGTTTCTCCCTCACCGAGTTCCCTGTCCACTGCTATTCGTTCTGGCCTGGTCTGCTGCAGCTGTGCGAAACATCGAGGCAGGTAAGGTAGCCAACCGCTTGACCATCCATGGTGAAGATACACTCAAGGAGAGTCTCCGGCGCTTCTCCCGGCTCAAGTCGTCTGCATGCTGCCACCCCATGTCTCCTGCTCCCCATCAAGCAGATTCCCCAAAACCTGGGCCCCCGTGGAAGTCCGCATATGCCCCAGGGGAATTTTTCCCCCAAGTTTGGGACATGGGATAAGGTATTCGGACAACAACCATATCCATACCCAAGGCACCCAGGCGGCCAGGCCACCACCACGCGCGAGACTTACGCTGGCGGCGGCTCACCACCCACTGCACTCGCAGGGCTCTGACAGGCGACACTATCACCCCCCGTCCCATGGTGGCCCACTTCTACGCCGAAGAAGCTCCCGTTTCCATCCACAATTGTCCACACCCGGGCGGGCCACCGAACATGCCGGAAATGGAGAGACTTTGCTCAAACACAAGACGAAAAATTGAACCCATGGAAAATGAGCGCATGCAACTACACCACGCCGTCGCCCGGCACAAAACAAGGGGGCGGGGACGTTGAGTCTTTTGAGAGACTATGTGTGAGTTCAGGGCAGTGGTTTGGGATATGGGGATCCAGGGTCAGGTAGTGTGAAGTGTGTGATAGGTTTGTCTGATGGGAAACGACGGATACAACGAAGGAGAATCTGCACTGCTGCAGAGGTACTTACTAGGACGAGTGCTAAAAACACCACCGAGCAAAGGCCGTACCAAAATGAGGAGACCCCATGGGAGACCAGGAAGCTGCTCCTCCTTCTCCGGTGTCTTGGTCCGTGGCCCTTGACGTG